GAAGATAATACATTCACCAACTTTATTAAAATAAAACCATTAAACTGGGTGTTCGGATTTATATGTCACTTAGTATATTTCACTGATAACAAAGGTTCAACGTTTACAACCCCTTACCCCCCTACGTCAAAAAACTAAGTTTGATATTTTTATCTCCACGTGGCTCCGCCGCCACGGGATCAACATTCAAAATCTACAAGATGTTTCGTCCTAGCCACAGTAGCTATGACCAAACGGAGATATAATAATAATAATAAAGGGTCTTTATTGCACTAAACATTTAGTACATGACGAGGGGCGAGGTTTAGCGTGAGCTATTCTTCCACCTAACCCCGTTTTGATATTTATTCGAAATTACATAGAAATGGATGACATTAAACTATGGTACATACATTTAAATCGGTTTGTTTGTTAAACCAACAAAACTGGTGATCAAAGGGATTTTTTTCAAAATCAACCATCATTAACCAATAAAAAAAAAAGTATAAGTTGCAATTCATGTGTGCGAGAGAAGGATCGGACTTCAATTTTAATGTAAAAGTTTTAATATTCCCAATATTGTTTAAAATGAAAATTAATACTGTTTGTGATATTTAACGGCATTGTAAATAAAGGTTCTTGAATATAAAACAGTACGGTGGACTGGCAGTATAAAGAAAGCCTGAGGCCTGTGTTAATATTATGCGTGCTGGATCTGGTAATCAATTTTTCAAACAGGTATCGGGGTGATGCGGATAGTAAAATACGATGCACAGAACTTATAACAGAATATTTGTATAGATTATCTATAGTTAACCAATTGAGGTCAGAATCCGTATGCGATATATGATCAAATTTCCTCAAATATTTATGTACCTACTACAAGTATTTTGCATTATCTGTAGACGTCGTTTATTCGCAGCAGTTAGGCAGGGGTAATAAATTATTAGCCCATGCGAAATCTAAGACAATACCAAGCTTTCACATAGCTGTTTTTTCAATTGCTTACCAGTGATGCAATTTCTTGCAAATAGAAGCCGGAGCGAACAGTAACATTGCCTCAAAAACGTGTTGTAAGTGTTTTTCAATCCTCAGGTCTTCATCTAAATGTAAGCCCAAATTTTTGGCACATTCTGAATAAGGGATGATTTTTCCTTCGATTTGAACGTCAATTTTGCTTATAAGATTTGCTCTTATTTTTGATATTACCAAATAGCAAGGCTTTACACTTCGATGGGTTGAGCTTGAGGTTATGTAATAGCGGCTAATACTTGACAAATCTTCATTGATTTGGTCTTGGGCCTTCAGAGTAGCGTGAGGCTGGAAAATCATACTTTACCTGAGTGTCATCGGCAAAGAATTACACATGACAGTGCTTGACAGTATCTTGAAGATCCGCGGTATATAACAAAAAAAGCAATGGAAGCTAATACGGAGCCTTGAGGTACTCCGGACTGAACTAACTTCATTTGGCAAAGACATCTGACCATCAACCACAGCCACTTGCGACCGATCACTTAAATATGACTTGATGAGCTTACAAGCAAGATCACCAAAGCCATATGTGACATGTCATGTAACATCCACAAGAAGTAAATCCAATTTTCGAAATTTTTCCGCATTTATACCTTGTATATTTCGGTCAGTTATTAATCAGGGACAATTTCTTGGAGGCGCGTAATCTTAAGTCTTATTATACTCGTTTTTCTGACTTCCTAGATAAGCGCAATGCATGATTCAAAAATATTTCTAGGCAACCAAAAAAAAATTTTTTTTCTAAGCGACTCATATCACGTTTTAACATACGACTCTGGTTTTCCTCGAATTGATTTTTCAGACAGCGACACTATTAGATGAATGACAAATTACCATGGCCGCGTACGTTTCAAATTTCTATTTGCAATAGTCCCGAAACATTTCCAAACGAAATCATGCGGTAGTGCTTCATACAGAAGTTTTTTTTTTACTTAAGCATGCGTACGGTCCTGAATGTCGAAATGCCCTAGCTACTTTAAAAATGATAAACGACGTCTTGCAATCGGAGATTTGAACTGCCTAATGTCAGTGGGGTTTAAAAAATGAAGTGAAGTATATGACTCTGTATTTGCCACTTAATTGTCATATCTTTGATTATGTCATAAGAAAGTGACGAAAGCAGTTGTGTGAGATATAGGAACTTATTCCTAAACAGACCCTCAATGATTTTCTATTTTTGTTCATATAGCGTGGATCAATATCTGTAGTAGTAGCTACTAGTTCAGGTAGTATCTATGTATCTGCTGGGAAAATATTCTGATTCAGATTTGGTGCACAATCTTATTGGAAGAAACCTCTAGCATGTTACCAAGCCCAAAATTGTGCCAGAAGCTGTTTATACGTTTAAGCATTTGGGAAATTATCTAGCTTAGCTACACCAACCTCTATCGTTTCTCGGTCCAATACTAGGTTTTGGATTGTAAATGAGATTAAAAATGTCCGCAGAAGGTTAGTTGCAGAATATTGTTGATACTATTTAGGTTTTCAAAGGTTATAAACACCTTCTTAATAATGATATTTGCAGAAGGAACGGATCGTATACATGCCGCCACGGTGCCATATTGAAGAAATATAAGAGAATTAACGAAAATACGCAGTTCCACGCATAGGGGTTCTTCTTTTACTTTAGAACTTGTTCACCGTGGAGCGCGGGCACTAGTGAATTTCACGTGATGTAGTGCTGTGGAGTTCGAAGTCATATATAAAAATGTTGTTACTAAAAATATCCATCAACACGAAAACCTATGAAGTAATAAAATCTGACAACAACTCTCAACCTGTGAAAACAAGCATTCAATAAAAACCTATTATACAGGGTGTTCCATAATTATGCGACAAAATGATAGGGGTTGTAGAGGGCATAAAATATGCAATTTGCCTTATAAACCCCTGTTCGTAAATATGCCGTTTGAGCACTACCGCTAATTTTACCTTAAGAGCTCATAGGAGAAACAAAAAATTCACCAGCTGCAAAATGTTCGTCTAGCACATTTCATGGTCTCGCCGGTTGTGAAAAAAGCCTGCTGTGTTTACATTTTTGTTATCGTAAATTCTCCACACCGATTCATTTAATTTATCTGAGTGGTGTGTCAAACTAGATAGTAAATAACAGTACCTTAGTGTTAAAATGCAGCGTTATTCGTATGCGGAACTCGCGGATATTCATTTAATTTACGAAGAAGCTGGTGGTAACGGAAGACGAGCCTCGCGAATCTACGCTCAACGATTTCCAGAACGTCCTCATCCGCATCACGCCATTTTTGCAAGGATTCATGGAGTTGAGGCAACCAAACTTTGGTCGCTACGTTTTGTTCACTGACGAGTCACATTTGGGATGAAGAAACCCTCAGCCATAGCCATCCATAGAGACCAACATCAGTTTTCAATTAACATCTGGTGCGGAATTGTGACGAGCAATATCATCGGGCCATATTTGCTTCCACCACGTTTGGATGGGCATGCTTATGGTCGATTCTTACAGCATGTGCGACCGGAATTATTAGAAAATGTGCCACTGAACATAAGAGCCCACATGTAGTTTCAACACGACAAATTTCCAAATAGGTGGATAGGCCGAGGTGGCCCTGTGCCTTGGCCTGCGCGGTCACCCGACCTGACCCCACTGGATTATTTTCTCTGGGCCATCTGAAAGCTTTAGTGTACGAAACTCCTGTTCTCAACCAACAACAGCTACTGGGAAGAGTGATGACCGCGTCCGCCACATGTTCAGGACATACCGGGGGTATGCGACAGAGTTCGCCGATCATTGAACAATCGTGCACAGCTGTGTATTGAGCAAGGTGGATGACACTTTGAGCAATTACTGTAAGCTGTTTCAAGAAACTGATGTTTTTTTTTGTTGCAGCCCAACGGCATGTTTCCGAACAGGGGTTTATAAGGCAAAATGTTCATTTTGATGCCCTCTACAACACCTATCATTTTGTCGCAATAATATGGAACACCCTGTATAGTAAAATGCAGTAATGTCCGCTTATAACGGACCTCATGGGACCGGCGAAACTGGTTCGCTATAAGCGAAGTTCGTAATACGCGATAAATAATCCGAATACCAAAAAATATTTTTCATTAGTTTATACCATAACCAGGGTATATAAAATGTTTGTAATAGTGGCTAATAATATCTATAATTCACATTTATAAAAGTTTTTGAAAATCTTTCTTAAAAAAGTCATTTATTTTAGTTTTGGTTTATTTTTGTGAAATGAATATCATTAACCGCTTTATGCCGAATGTATACATGTGATACATACTAAAACCCATCGAAATTATATACCGCAAAGCATATAGATGACTGCGCCATCTAGTGATATTACTTCTAAATAATCGTACGGCTGCAAGATATTTGTACACGGCACAGAAATCTACTATTCTGTATAATTGACGTCTACTACATGCTATTCAAAAAGTGGCAGGTGCACTCGTGATATACGCTGATAAAATCTAGTTCTATCAATCCAATCCTCTGTCATAAGTGTGAAGAAAAAATATATTTGTATCAAACGCTTGTTTGTTGAAGGTAAGTGCTATAAATCTTTTTATTTTCTTGTATGTACTTCAGTATTTTTGCACAAAAGTGATGCGTATCAAAATTGATGCAACCGGAGCGACTATTTATCTGAAAATTTTACAAAGAATTTTTGTATGGTTTCAAAATTTCAATAAAACTGTACGTATTTTCCTGAATTCCTTCACATTTACTATGCTAGAGCATATTTTTTGAAATGAAACTAATTGTATCACAATGCATAATCCAGGCATTGCCTAACGTTTATTCCGTATCACATATGATATATCCGGCAGTAATCGTTTTGGTTTATTCTTTAGATGGAAAGGCAAGTTTCACTGCGTCGCAAAGGAACACACACTTGTAGTTGAATAGCTCCGCCAGAAGTTAGTGAAGATGAGTATTTGCCTGAAAGCGACTCAGAGAAGTACTGGAGACATGCATTCCATTACTGGACAGTATGTACGATTCGGATGATGAAATTCCACTCAGTGAGTTGAAGATCCGTGCAAAAGGTGTAGCCCCGGATAATGATGACACATGGAACGACGACGATTATCTACCTGTAGCAAGTTTCGCGTCACCTGTACGTGAAGATAATACACCATCCTTGTGGAAGGATGTACCCAAGGGTTCAGAGAAAGAAATCCCCAATTTCACTAGCCCTAAACAGTCAAGTGGCACTGTCTTAGCGCCCTGTTTCAAATATTTCTTTGACGATGATCTACTGGAACATATTGTATATCAATCGAACCTGTATTGCACTCAAAATCGACCTCATAAGGCATTATGTCTATCAGTAAGCGAATTGGAGCAGTTTATTGGTGTAACGATTTTTATGCCTGTATTCGATTTACACCGTACCAGAAGTTATTGGTCAAATACAAGTAGAATTGCTCAAATAGCTGATATCATGAGTCGGGAAAGATATGAGGAAATTCGGAGATTTATACATTTCAATAATAACGACAACATGCCCGATAGGAATGATAAGGAGAGAAATAAACTGTACAAGATTCAGGCTGTAATTAAAGCACTTGTGACTAAATGTAAAACTATACCTTTACAAGGTCAAATATTCGGTGTGGACGAGCAAATTGTTCCTTTCAAGGGACATTCCACCTTGAAAACGTATAATCCAAAAAAGCCTCATAAATGGGGTACAAGATTTTTGCCCTAGGTGATACAAATGGCACAATATATAATTTCGATATATACCAAAAGTTCAAATTATCCAATTTTCGACCTCGAAAAACAGTAGGAAAAACAAAATTTTAATGTTGCTAAAATTTCGAAATATTCTTCAAACATCCATTCATATAATCTCGAAGCATTTCGGGCACATGTCACTTTAAACACTTGTCAAAATCAAATTGCCCCCTAAAATGCTTTGGAATTTTTTTAATGGATGTTTGAAGAATATTAAAGGAACATGAACAACATTAAAATTTACGTTCTTTCCTATCGACTTTCGCGATCGAAAATGGCATGTTTTGCGCTTCTTCATGTATTAAGTCGCTTAGATGTCGAAAACTAACTCCAGAGAAATGTTCTAATGCACGTTTTTGTTCAGACTGTCCTAAGAACCTAAAGCATCGGAATTTGTTGGAATACTGCTTTATCAAAAGAAGTCTCTATTGACAATTGTTATGAAAAATATCTGAATCAGAATATTTCACCTGCACTATTTCCACCATGTCTAATCATCAGAATAAAACACATTTATGTTCAGATGTCTGACGGGACCGCGATATCACGGGGATCAGAATATCCTTCTTGCTTTAATTGATTCCAGGATGCAACTAGCAAGGATGCACTCTTCAAACTGATCCGTTTTTTAGTGGAGTACGTGTTATGTAACATCCAAAAAAAACATATCATTTTCATTTTTTAAACTTTCCGTGCTTACATTACCTCCTCGTCAAATGGCGTGGAAGTAAAAGGCATCTACTTGGCGGCATATTTGATGTTCTCATTCCATTAGGACCAAGAATCGTAATAGAAGTGGAAACGAAATTCCTCATTAGCTCGTGAACATAATTGTAGTCACCTTGATTAAATTTTACAATCCAACACTTGGAAAATGTAAAACGGCTATGTATTTATAACAAAGACCATAAAGCAAATCCGCGTAACGCATACTTGCTACTCAGGAAACAAGATGGAAGTTATATACAGTGGCTTAGGAGTTCGGGGATTCCTGTATTGAACAGCAAATGACAACGAGAATTGGTAATGTTTTGATACCTTATTTGCTGATAACTTTCCTGGTGATGTAGTAAATAATGTGATATTTTTCAAATTTGTCTACTCTATACTCAAGCAACTATAAATATCTGTGACGAGGTACGCTGACACTACGAGATGACAAATACATGGTATCTGCACAATCAGATCTGACAGACCTGACAGACCTACTGACCCTACAATACTTTAACATTAGCAAGGTGGTGGATCGCACTTGGTTTTGAATCTTAGTTTTTTCTTTTGTTTGCATTATAACAACCTTAGCTTGGACGTTTGCTATTGTTTCTCCAATGCAGATATTTTTTAGCATGACCACAGTTGTTTTTCAATCCATATATCAGTGTATTTTAAATAGTTCCTGAAGGCCGATGAAACAATTGATCAGTATTTGAACATTTGTGGCTTACATCATGTCAGCCTAACTACACCAATGGCAAGTAACTAAAAGTTAGCGGCAGAGATACGTTTTAACATTATTAAATGAATGAATTTCATTTCATACTTTACTAAATTAAAGATCGAGAAGCAGAATTGTTTTAATTTGTTATGCAGATGCTATGAAACTGGAATGAAGAATCTGAAGTTGTGTTAATTAAGAAGAAAGTTTGTAAGATGGTACGGATTCCAAGCCTACGACAACTCAGAATCGTTCGGTATGAGCGAAGACTGGAAAATGGCTCTTAAGTAGCCAATAGGCACTCAAAAAGACTGGATGCATGTGCGCAATTTGCTATAGTCTCCTTTCAGTAATTTCCTCGTAGTTGCTATAGTTTGGAATTAAATGTATTATATGAGAACGTATATTTGATGATATTTTGAACAATTGAAAAATTTGACAATAAATATCATATGACGCAATTTCCCACTATTTTTAACCGATAAAACCAAATGAATTCGAGCAGCATTCCCAATATTTCATATTTTTGGCTTCAACAGTCAGCAAATCAGCAATTACTTTTAAAACCGCTAACGTGTACTATTGGCGCACTATTATTGAAAGAATCAATGGTGTTTGCAGACTAGTACGGTAATATAATGAAGATAGGGGACTGGTATCAAAAATATATATAAATACACTAAAGACACTGTCAAAATTAATAGGCCTGCAGATGCACTAATAGAGTCTGTGTGCAGATATTCAATCAAGAATTAAATTATTATGAAATCATAGTTATAAACGATTACATCGGTACATTTATATATTTGAGAAGAGAAAAACCGATGTAAATCTATGTACATAGGCGCATATGAATATTAAATAAAATTAAACACCACCACATTTTCGTTAATTAATATGATGTTTAAGTACACTATAATTATACGATCAAATTTGTTGGTGAGGTATTATGTATTTTGGAACGAATGTAGTTTATATTTGTATATCTTTGGAGAGCTATACAGGGTGTTTCAGTTTATTGTTGCATAACTTTAAGATTCGATACAACTGTTAAAATTAATGCATAAGTCTATATAACATGGGTCGAAAAATGCGTGGCTTCCGAAATACAGGGTGTTTAAATTTAATTTCTAAAATAGTTTTTTTTTAAATATTTCGAACAATATTTGATGTATAAAAGGGGAAGATTGGTATGCAAGGGTTTTTTGGTACGACAAAACAAACCATGGGTATAGTTTTACTGTAGCGCTAGAGTGCGCTCTCTACTGTACCTGTAGTGTATTAAAATGACCGAAAAATTTTTATTAGTGCAATTTTTTGCTTTTTGAATAAAAGAACTGATTCTTCGCGCTTTTCAACATAAAAAAGCTCTCTTGTGAATTTTCGTTATAGTTACCCGTTTTTGAGATATTTCGATTTTAAGGTTCGATGCATTTTTAATTATTTATGATAAAATAACGTTAAAAGTCAGTATCTCGATAATTTTTAGAAGTAGGCTGTGCCTGCAAATATTTTGAAATTGAAAGCAGATAAGGCTAAACGTCAATTAGTTGACAGTTAGTTTTGTTGTCTGTTGAAACCTGAAACGTTTTTTTGCAATTGTGAATGCAGGAAACTTTGTTTCTTTTACCTGTTTCTTTTGTAAGTTTTATAAAAATGCCATTTTTTTTCACCAATCAAGAGTTAGCGGATATTCATTTTGTGTATGGCTTTGTAATGGAACGCAACAGAGCAGCCAGAGAATACGCACGAAGATTTCCAACAGACGACATCCAACTCGCTCAGTATTTGTAAGAGTACATCGCCAAATAATTGAAAATGGTTTTGGAAATCTCCAAAGAGATCAAACATAATGTTCGTCAGCGCAGATTTACCCGTATGATTCTGCGTGAGTTTGATAGAGATCCGACTACAAGTGTTAGGAGAGTTTCTGGTGCCTTGGGAATTTCAGCAAGCCATGTTCACCGTGTTCTTAGAAAGACCATAGACGTCCTTACCATTTGCAACCTGTGCAAAAGACTACAGCCAGGGGACGAAGAACGAAGAATCATATTTTGTTAGTGGATTCTTGACAGAAACTGATAATAATAGGGAGTTTTTAAGTAACGTTTTATGGACCGATAAGTCATTCTTCACTAGACGTGGAGTGGTAAATTTTCATAATCAACATATTTGGTCGCATGAAAATCCGCATGCAGTTCGGGAAAAGAAATTTTCAGCATGAATTTAGTGTGAACGTGTGGATTGGCATCTACCGTAATCGACTATTTGGACCCTACCTTTTGCCTGCAAGGTTAAATGCTGCGACCTTCTGGAATTTTTAAAGGCTGAACATGCAAATATGTGGGATGATGTTATGTTAGATTTAAGAAGATTGGCCTGGTTCCAGCTTGATGGTTGTCCAGCTCATTATTCAAGAATAGTTAGAAACTGGCAGGACGAAATTATCCAGAAGATGGATCGGCCGTGGGGGACCAGTCGCCTGGCCTCCACGATCCCTGACCTAAATCCATTAGATTTCTTTGTGTGGGATTTCTAAAAGAAAAAGTGTACCAGACTCCCGTAACCATAAGAGATATGCTAATAGACAGAATCAGGAATGCATGTGATGAAATAAGGCCTTATTTGAATAATGCTATACCACGTTCGATCATTCGTAGATGTGAATTGTGTATTGAACAATTGGGTTTACATTTCGAGCAACTACTTAGATATTGTATGTTTGTCCTAACTATCCAATAGCATTTAGTTGTAAATAATTAATTTAATTTGTTAAAAATAATATTGGAAAATTAAACAAATTAATATTCTGTTTTTTGTGTTTATTTGGAGTTAGGAATTATTGCTTTGTTTAAAAACACAATCTAAACGATCATCTTGATTACTTGTAATGCCCCAACATTTAGAAGGAATCATTGATATCATACCACTGAACAACCTTTTTTAATGGGTTCGTTGAACATTAAAATCTAACTAATAACTCGAGTAAAGGGAAGTACAGCTGGTGTAGTTCATAGGTATACATTTTATAGCTGCTGGAACGTTTACTCAAAAATCACCTTTTTAAAAATCTGGAGTTGTAATTCCAATATGTTTCTAACAGACTGTTATAAGAAATAACTTTATGAACGCCTATGAACTGCAAACGATGACTTTACTAAAATTAGCACCATATCATGGCCGTATATACATACAAACCCATTAATAAAAACTAGCTATCCTACGAACGTGCCTCCAAGTGAGCCATCTTATAGATATACGGATCAGACGATGCATGTATTGAATTTTAATAGGATTAAGTCGGTCGTAGTATAAGAGAATTTTATTTGATGTTGGGTACAAAAATGAATGTAAGCAATTGAAAAAATTAAAAATCCAAC